TATTTCATCCCTGATTTGTTCCTCGTGTATTATCTATATAATATAAAGTTAAAATAACTTTTTGTTAAGTTATATTAGTTAGTTAGTTATAAGTTATAAGTTTACGCCTAATATGAATTCACCTCGAATGACTGGTCTGAGACTGAGTTGAGTTGTCGAGAATGACCTTTGATCACCAGCTGCCAAGGACTTCTTGAATCAATTCTTGAATGAATTAATCTAGTTCCCGCATCCAGGTGCAATATTCAGAGACAGAGGAAGAGAGCACGCGCACAAAGCACAGAGAGAAAGTGAGTGTGTGTGTGTGTGAGTGTGTGTGTGTGTGTGTGTGAGAGAGAGAGAATGAGTGTGTGTGTGTGTGTGTGTGTGTGAGAGAGAGAGAGAGAGAGTGTGTGCATGAATAGAGGGATAGAGAGAGAGAGAGGACGAGAGTGAGAGAGAAAGAGAAAGAGGAGAGAACGCATGGGTGAATGAGTAAGGATGGGGAAGAGAGAGAGAGCAAAGGAGAGAGAGCAAGAGAGAGGAGGGGGAGAGAGCAAGAGAAAGGAGGGAGAGAGCGAGCGAGCGAAAGAGAGAGAGAGAGAGAAGGGGGAGAGAGCAAAAGAAAGGAGGGAAAGAGAGCAAGAGAGAGGAGGAAGAGAGAGCAAGAGAAGGTTGGAAGAGAGAGCAAGAGAGAGAGAGAGAGAGAGAGAGAGAGAGAGAGAGAGAGAGAGCACGCGCGCGAGCGAGCGAGTGGGGGCAAGAGAAGAAAAAGCAAGGGAAATTAAGAGATGCTTACCGAAGGGAGCCCTGTTGCTCTTGTAATGTCTCTCGAAGTTGTCCTTCAGCAGCGAAAATGCCTCGCCTTTGTTTTTCGGAGGTGCGCATGCGTCGACCATGGCACACGGATTACCGTTCTTATCGGTGTAGTCTACCATGGGCATCTGAATTAAGTAATACGTGAGGGTCAATATTTCTAACTACACTCATAGATATCATATAACAACTTTTTATATAACATCTATGACTACACTACTACAATGTGTGTGTACTTTCTACAACGTGACATCAAATAACCAATTTATTATATTCTTTTATTTTTGGTTGGTTGTTGCAAAGAAACTTAAAAAGAAGACCAAAAACTATTTTCCGAAAAAATACGTACAATCCATATTCCGGGCCACGACTTCTTCGGGCAGGGGTTAATCTGACAGGTTTTCGTCTCCTTGTAGTCCAGTGTGTAGGGCCACAGCGGAGGGTCCATTTGAAGGGTAGGCATCGACGAGTCGTATTTTAGTTTGTTGTCCTTCATCATCCTAGACAAAGACGTGAACAGCCCTAATTAATTAGGTGTTAATTAGGTGTTAATTAGAAAGGGGAAGCATTAATCAAGCATTGACTATGCAGGCACATATATAAACAGCGGCGTCCCTATTGCAAATGTCAGCGTACGTAAATAGAGGGAGGGCCCACGTTATCTGGAACGCCTTAGTAAACAGACGTTTATCGCAATAGCAAAACACCCTCTTTCAGTTCAATAACTATAAAGATTAATGATGTGATCGGATCAGAGTTGTTATCTGGATCTGGGTTGCAAGCGAGATAAAACGTCACAATCCAATAACAACGATTGCATATATGTGTCAAACGCAATGATGTTACCTATCGTCTGAAGTCTCTGAACAAATAAAACGTAATAGAACGTAAATTCCACACGCAGCAATATGGCTCAAGCGACGTTCACTGGTTCTACATATGGTTTACTATATAAATGACTTTACTATGCTTACTAAATATTACTATATAATACAGACTTTTTCTTTACAGTGGGGTTTTCATTCTTCTGTTAGTAATATA